AGAGGGAGAGAGAGGGGGAGAGAGAGAGAGAGAGAGAGAGAGAGAGAGAGAGAGAGAGATAGGAAAGAGTAACAGGGGGGGAAGGGCTAACCAACCGACAAGGCACTGGGGGGGGGAGGAGGCTCTTGTCGGGCAGTCTTGGTTCTCACGCGCCTCTTCATAAACATATTTGTAACACCAGATGCCAAAAATATCATCTCCATCATCTTTCCACAAAATATACGAGCCCAGGATAGATGCTTCTCCTTGTACACCCATATATATTGCGCTGCGAACGCTGAAATGAAAATTGACGGGGGAAAAAGTGCAAAACACCTCTTCGGGGATAAAGTCGAGGCGCTTGAAGTCGTCCCCGATCCCCTCGTAGTCTCGGTGAACCAGGTGCGAGATCGCCTCGATCATGCCGAACTTCTGGTTGTCGGTGATCTGCGTCATGAGACCAAAGTCGAGGATGGCCAGCTTGCCCTCCGGGGTTCGGATGAGGTTACCCGGATGGGGGTCTGACGAGAGTAAGGACGGCGGCACCACCCCGTTTTGGCGGCACGAATGGAAAGACGCGGGCGAAACGAACAGCCCAAGGCAGCGTCGGGGAAATATGGGGAGGGGGTCAGGATTTGTTCGCTGACCACGCTAGACGTATGTTGCAGACGAATCGCTCCGTACCAACAGTCCAAAGCAGCGTCCTGTGGAAGAAGGGGAGGGGGTCAGGGGGTCAGGATTTTGCTCGCTCACCACACTAGGCGTAGGTTGCAGGCGAATCGCTGGGTATCAACAGTCAAAAGCAGCGTCCGGGGGGAGAAGGGAGAAGAGCGAAGGGGGAGGTGTTGTTGTTCGAGGACTACTGTACGCAATACGCTTAACGTTCCAAACACTCGATGGAACCCCTTTATCGTCCATGCAGCAGTATGCCACTCGGAGTCGTGGCGAAGCATCGGCAACACACGCCCCGCTACCCCCACAGGGCCGCAAAGAACCTCCGCCCGTCAAACCCCTTCACACCCCTCACACTGCCTACTAACCCGCATGGAAGAAGCCCGTGTCTAGCAGCTGGGTGAGGTCTGACTCTCGATCAACGCACCAGTCGCGATGGGAAGAAAAAAAAGGCACGGCCGACGGTGGGGAGGACAACGACGAGAAGGTACGGGGACAGAGGGAGTGAGTCGGACGAAGGTACCGAATAAAAGAGGACGGAAGGAGCAATGAGGAGTGAGAACGTTAGGCCGCTCCGTCCGGTGACACAGATACAGCAGCACACATTGCGAAAAACTGTAAACCGGGAGGTGCGTTCGGTAGCCTGCGTCCATCACCGCCAGTGCTATCTGCTAATCGGGTAGCGTGAAAAATCCCTGCGCTGGTGGACACAAAAAAAAAAGTGCGGGCTGCTGGAAAAAATGTGTTCGGTCAATCTACACTTCTGGTAGCAGCCGAGCTGGAGGTTGCACGCTTCAAACCCTTCCACTTCTCTGCTCGCAAGGGGCGCGTCTGCCTGCATTGCATGACGTCACTTATTCCCACTATGAATAAATTTCCGAATTGAGCCATTTCCTCACAATCATTATATTCCGAAATTCTGCAAAATGCATTGCTCAGCACAAAAAAAATCCGGAACTGGAGCAAAACATGATGAGTAAATGTCATCACATGTAGGCGAATGACAGCATCCCTAGACCGAAAAACAGGGTGTCCCCGTTTCTCTTCGAGCGCAGACGTCGGCAATGTGAAAGTCGAGCATCGATGGACAGTCAGGCATTGTGTCCTCGCTGCCTTTTCACGTGGTCGCAGTTTTCAGATCGTCGGCCGCAGCAGACCACCCTCCGAACCACACGAACACACACTTGAGTGAAACATAGCCACCTCCCTCCCTTCCAAAAGGAACGACACTCGTACAAACCTTGGCCTGGTCCAGCCTCGGTTGAAGCCAACGTAGACTAACAGCGTCAACTCTCTCACAGGGCGTGACGCCGACGTGGTGGGAGTGAGCGAAAGCCACCTCCCTTCCAAAGGAACAACTCTTGTCAACTGGCCTGCCCTCCAAACAGCACTCATTGCACCCTAGCCGAGCAGTTGTTGCGGTCGCAGACCAGCAGCGCCAAATCTCCTCACTAGCCGTAAATCTGACACTGACGAGATGGGAGTGAACAAGAACACCTCCCTTTTAAAGGGGGCAACACTCGTACGACTGGCCTGCCTCCCAAAAGAACGAAGGAACGGCACTCGTACGACTGGCCTCCCTTCCAAAGAAACCAAAAAGGAAATACACTCGCACAACTTTGGCCTGGCCTAGCCCTGCCTGCAGTCGGTGCACACAAACAAACGTCCACAAGTCTCTCACAGGCCGTGACTCCCACATTGACGAGGTCCTGCACGTCGTCCGCCTTGCTCTGGCTAAGCTTCTCGCCGTCGATCCACTCCGACACAAACACCCGCCTGGTCGTGAACTCGGGGTAGTTGAATGGCACCACCACCTTTACGGCAACGCCAAGAGGACAAGGGGGGGGGGGGTATTCACGGAAATGCATGCTGTTGACCATCGACCTCGCGTCCTTACAACGCCGGGGACGGACGGGGCGACATGCCAGTTTTCGCCGGCCCAGGCTACGGTACATTTCACAAGGATGAATCAGGGCGGGGATGCGAGAAGACGGATGCGAAAAACAGCATAGACGTGACAGGGGGGGTCACGGAGGACGCACAAAATAAATAACAGTCGGCGACCCCCCCGAATGCGCGAGGGGGGTCGTCTGGTGTTTTTTCTGTGCATCCACCCCGCGACGCGGGCGCTTCGCACCTACTACGTAGGTGCTTCGAGGCTGGGTGCTGCGCCTCACTTCCTCCCTCCTGGCCACCCCTCTCAACTCATGCCAGCGAAGACCCGCAAGAGCCCCCGCAAGAGCCCCAGCCCCAGCAAGAATGGGCTACCAAAAAAAGCACCATCAACAACAACAACAACAACAACAACAACAGCGGCTGGATTCTACCTGCTTGATGTGCTGCATCTGGTCCCTGATGGCGACGCCGTTGGCGCACTCCTTGACGTAGTCCAGCTCATCGAAGAAACGACTCGCGAACTCGTCCAGGAGGGCCACGAGATCCGTCCGCTCCGCCAAGAACGGGATCTGCATAATATCGCATTATCACAGGATCACAATATCGCAATATCGCAATATCGCGTTCATGATCTTTCCACAGCGGGATGGAGAGCGAAAAACCTACTTCGAAGTATTTCAGAAGTGGACAACAACAAACACACCGGATTACCAGACAAGTAATGTGTTCCGATGTTTCGCAGCGTTTTTTATATTGTTTTCATCCCACTTGTGCTGGACTTTGATAGTTTCACCCTTCGGAACAATTCTGGAGGGTCAGAGCGACAAAACCTACTTCAGGAAAGTAGACAGCAAAAACAAAATTATTGTTGTAGAGAAACGGTAAAATCACGAAAGACCTCGCGGAAAAAAAAAGCACACTCACACACATTCTGCGGTGTCCCCCCTCTCCTCACAACACGGCCATAACCCTCCCCATGTACCTTCTTCATCTGGTACCCCAGTTCTCTGGCGAGATGAAGGTCTAAGCTGACGGTCTCAAGCACTCCTGGCCGCTGCACCTTCACCGCCACCGGTTTTCCGTTCGATCGCAGCGTCGCCTTGTACACCTGGAACAGCGGNGGGGGGGGGGGGGGGGGGGGGGGGGGGGGGGGGGGGGGGGGGGGGGGGGGCATACTCAAGTTTTGCATGCTTTGGTTGTTAGATCGTTGTCCACGAGTCCTCCACAAGATGAGCCACGGGGGGGGGCAGGAGGCGTGTCCGTGTTGGTGACATTTGTTGCGAAATGCTAGAACAAATCATCTTCGAGACATCAGGGCTGTTCCGCACGCACGGTGACCCAGCCGCAATTTTAAGGCCATCACATCACGATTACGTTCTCCGTCCGCACGAAGAGTCAGTCATTCCCTTGTGGATCTGGGATCAGAATGGGATCGACCTCGTGCTTCCCGAGTATCGTCCGCTCGTAAACACAACACGCTACACCCGTTCGATTGTGTATGCGAGCGACCGAGAATCCGCGTGGCTCTGGTCGCTTAGCGGTGACTTTGATCTATTGGCGAGACTTTGATCACCTAGCCATGACTTTCATCACTCTCGGGGATATTATCTCAAGCGACGACATCGATCACACAGCGATGACTTGCGTCACTCTGAGGTGACTGTGATTACTTGCCGATGAAGTGGTCACACCGCCGTGACTATTACCACCTAGCGACGAATTTGATCACGTAGTTGGGTGTACTGCCAAGACGTGCTAGGGGGGGGGCACGCATGCGACAACAAGATATCACACCCCACCCACACTGCCGGTGGCAGAAGTATAACGGTGGGATAGCATCAGCCTCCAAAACTACTCTCAGATCAAGGAACAGGGCGACACAAGATATCACACCCGCCACATAAAACAATACACCTGGATGACAATTGTTGAATCAGATGTCGATTTGGGGGGGGGGGGGG